GGACCTCGACTCCGTCTCGGTCCATAAACTCGCAAAAAAAGAACTTGGCCAATATCCAGCCATCTTGACCTCACACTTGGTCAATAACCCATATATAACCACGGGAGTTGACAAGTTTTCAGTCATCTAGCAGAGAGGATGTCAACCGTCACTTGGTGCTGACTCATTTGCCCCCCTTCCCCACCTCCCCCTGCTGAAGATAGGTGATAAAATCTGAAGCAAACTTTTGTCCAACTTGCATCTGTTGACCAATATTTTGTGATCTGGCCTCATTCACCCCTGGTTTTACTTTGCTTCAAAGTAGATCAAGCCTCTGCGAGCAGACCAATGTGCTCCTTTACAATGAGAAGAATTCTGCATTGAATCTCATCTTGTACAGACACCTGTTGGACTGTAATTAAAGACAAAACAAAAGCTGAGAAGCTATGTTGTCCCTAGATAGGGGACCAATTGTTCTTGTTTTTAAATAAGTGGCAATTAGTAAAGTTCTCTATAGGGCTATCTTTGCATAAATTATTTAAATATATCCATTGTGAAAAGGAATTCCGTAAACGTACATGTACATGTATGAGTTAAAATAACTGTGTCTGATGTAAGTTGATACACTTTTCCCCGCAGGTTGCAAAGTGGTCTGGAGATTTGTTTAATGAAGGGCTTTATGACATTCACATCAAATTAAGGAGTGTTCCTCTTCTTGAATGGACAGCACCTCAGGAAATGTACAGGTATTGCAAGGGTTGTAGCATGCTCTGAAACGAGCTATCAGCCCGTGTTCCTTGAAACCGGAAAGTCTGAAGCATCTTAAAACCGAAGGAGCTAAAACCCAAGATCATCAGTCAGCAATGCATCATGTACTATTTTCCATGTGGTACATGCAATACAGACTATGTTGGATCCACTAACCAACATCAACACCAATGTATGACAGAGCATAGCTCTTTAAATCCCTCAGTTGGAAAACACATGCTCAAGAAGCACAGAATGTCAAAACTGAATTTAATCAACAACTTTTTGGTGCTCAAAAAGTGCTGAAACTAATTTGAGTGTTTCATTGACAAAAATTATACTGATAATGTTTTTAATTGATGGTTTTCACTTATTTTTACTCCTGTGTCGCCTCAATATTTTTACTTTTGCCTTGAAAATGATGTTTGAAACATCAGAACGTCTGACAACTCTAATTTTGAATAAGGTATGTTTGATTATTGTAAATTAATTTCCTTTACTGCACACAGGTTAAAAGCTTCTGACATCATGGAGTCATGCCTGTCCTATATTTATCCTCACACAAGAGTCCACTCAATTGTTGGAATTCTCAAAACAACAGCACACAATGCATTCCCAGTAGTGACTATCGACAAAACCACTCAACAAGACACCTCTGGAAATAACTTTGTGCACAATGTCGATTCATCTAACGAGCAATTTGCTCGTACAACTACATTTTCCAGTTTAACAAGTGAACAGAAGCTGCGACGGACTGTAACAAGTGGAGTGGAGAATAGTTTACTGCATAGATTAAGATCTGGTTCAGAACACCATCCAGAAAGTCACCGCATGAATATAAAAAGAAAAAGACTGCTAAGTGAAGGTGATCAGGATTCTCTCTTAGTCTCATCCTCAGCTCCAGTGGTCTCAAATTTGGTTACTAATTACTTGGATAATGAAGGACTAACAGCTGATGACGATGATGGTAAGTGTGCAATGCAGGACAGAATTTCAAAAAATTATAGCAGTTATGAAGCAGCACATACTTATTTTATATGTAAAGTATAAATTATTACTGGTATTTACTTTTCAGTATACAGTTCACTCAGGCACCCTCTATCACCACCCCATGTCCTCCCAGGGGTTTGGCACACAAAGGAGTCTGAAAAATGTATTTCATGGGAACAAGGAACTTTCGCAAAAAATTTTAGGGAACAATGCAAGTTCTGGGTGGCAAACAAACGAGGTGCTCCAACCTTGAAAGAGCTTGTGAAAATAGTGTGAATAATCCAAAATATGAATAGAGGGGACCACAGTATTCTATACTGCGGTGAAAGGTTGATGAATTGATTGTTCATGTAATGACTAGTCTGTAATTATTTGCTTTTATCTTTACCAACCATGATAACTGGTCTCGCTGGGATCTTAAAATGGTTTGTCTGATTGTGGATGTTCAGTTTCTTTTATTTATTAATTAAAAGTTGTTTTTTATAGAAGAAAACTCTGGTAAGGTTTGATTGTGCATTTTTTTTAACAGATGTCTATCCCAGTGCATCAGGTTCTAGTGTTGTCCCTGCTGTAAGACACACAGATGAAGAGGAGTCTCAGGCTCTGACATTCCATGGGATCATCCTAAGGTCACAGCTAGTAACTCTGCTAAAGAGAGAAATCTTCTACTCAGAGAATTCCCAGGTAAATCCAGTGACAAGACAGTATAGATGTCATATGGATTATAACTTCATGTCCTGTCCACAAGTTTCTGTATGATTTGGTATGGGCTGAAATGGTTAGAGGTAAAGTTGCAGATTCAACTGTATGCCAGAGAAGTGCAGTGAGCTTTTTTTCTTAGTGTAATCCTGCATTAAGGGTTGGAGACGGAAGGGCCTACGTGTCAGGTCATTGGTATCCAGACAGAGTGGTGCAGGTTAAAGCCCTGGCCAGTGTCTTGATGTGGTGTTCTTGGGCAAGATGCTTTACTCTTGTGGTGCTTCCCCACCCAGGAGCCAATTGACAATGAGGGCAACTTGACAGAGTGCTGCGGAGTTGCCTGCCATGGAGTGGCATCCAGTCCAGCAGGGCTAGGATGACTCCTGTTTGAGTGTTTCGTGCTGCAGAACCTGGAGTTGAACAGTTGCAGTTGTGGGCCACAAGGCTCATGATGACTTACCCTTTCTCATTAACATCCTTAGCTACGAAACAACTTGTTATTTTTCAATGTAAAACATTATTGTACCATTTCAGAGAACTACTCGACCAGAGCTCAATTTTGAAAGTATGACAGAAGAGTACCCAAGATTTCCTGACATCCATGATTTAAACATTGAATTTGAAGACCAGCAAAAAATTATGGTATGTAGAGTTTGAATGATTTCTTTTTAAGATATTTTAAGGGGGAGAGGACCTAAATAGGGAGGGATCTGAGCTACATATTTCAAAGTGTTGTCCTTGTTTAGCAGACCGTAACAAGAACTTTCGCGTTGTTGTCCTTCAGGGGATATAATACTGAAAGACTCTGAAAGCCTTGCTCCCGCTGATATTTCATGGTTATTTTAGATGTAAAACCACTTTTGTGAAAGGTGAAACTATGCATATTGACACAGGTCAGGGTCAATTTCTCTGAAGAAGTCTTCAATGTCCAATCTTTCTGCCATTTCGTACGCTGAACTTTAATTAGCACGAAAGTTTGCACCATGGTCTGCTAAACTTCAAATGTTTGATGACCAATAATCCTTCATTTGACACCCAATTAGAGCATGTTTGAGCATCACATGTTCATGCTTAATTAGATGCAAGCTGCAGTAATGATTGGGTAACTTCATTTTCTTTTAGGATGTTACACCTTATATGAATCCCTGCCCATATATGGTGTTTCCTTGGACTCCTGTGCCACTAGTGTTCAACCTGTTTAGAACAATGGGCCTGCGACATTTGATAGTGGTTAATAGCAAGGGGCAGGTAAGGTCACTGTTATTTTTATAGCCCTCCATTTCCAGTCAGCAATCTAAAATTCAGGACATTATATAACTTCTCTTTAGCATGTAATTGTAAAAATCATCAGACGAGTTCATATTTCTAATGAAGTTATTGACAATCTTCTTTTATTTTTACTACATCACTAACAGTTAAGAATAATGCTGTACCATATTTCTGCTTAGTTAGTTTCACTTTTACTGTAAATGCGATTCTTGTTTATAATAGAATATTGACAATTGGGAAGCACATGCTCATGGAGTCAATTTGGCTACGTGGGCAGATAATTTATCAAACTGTATTATTTGCTTATGAGAGAATAATTTATTTAATGTTTTTTGATCCTTTTCCAGTGTATTAAGTACTAAATCACTAGCAAGTAAGAACAATGTTGTACAATTATATTTATTTTTACTTAGTTTGTATTGTGTTTCTTTCAGCTTGTGGGAATGATTACAAGATACAATTTAACACATGAATACATGGAACACTGTCTAGAGAACCTTGCTAATAACTAGACAACAAAATGCACACAATTTGTAGTAGTTTCAAATAAATTTAGCATAAAAATTTAATATCAATACATAGTTATAGAGAGTTTAAATTTATTTTAATTTACTCAGCTTTTAATCCCATAATTTTAGTGATTTGTTCCTGGCAGTCTGACCGTTAGACTAACAGGTATTAAAATATTTATCTTAGGAAATCAATAGTCATGCAATTTTCCTCTGGGAAATTATTTTTAAAATTATTGAAAAAAAGATAAGCAGGGAAGAATTGCTGTTGTTATAAGAGCTTAATGGGTTCAAAAACCAATATCACATGAAATCTTCATACATGTACATCTCGATCATCATTTTTGTGGCTCACCCTCTGAAAAAAAAAGTCTGAAACCTCACAGCAGTCCACTCGTAAAAATTGTCATTTTACTTTCAGTATGTATGGCTAGCTCTCTAAATACATTGGCATTAAACATTCCTTGAAATCTATTAATGAAGATGTTTGTTGGGTTTTTCCAACGACCATCCGCATGCATGAATGACCCCAAAATCAAGCAAATCTACATGCGAGTGAACAAATTATTTCTGCATGTATTTTTCTTGGGGCTATGGACTGAACAACACTTAAACCTGTAAAACTTATAACTTATTACCTTACAAAATTATAAGGTTTATAAGAAGTTTAAGTCTTCTTCAGTCCATAGCCCCAAGACAAACATGTACAAACTGAAATAATTTAGTTTGCATGTAGATTTGCCTGATCTCGGGGTCATTCATGCATGCGAATGGCCATTGAGAAACGCGATCCGCCCGTCTTCATTTCAAGGGGTCATTCATGCATGCAAATGGCCATTGAGAAACCCGATCTGCCCGTCTTCATTTCAAGGAATATTAATGCCACTGTATTTAGTGAGCTAGCCGAGCACACTGAAAGTAAAATGATAATTTTTATGAGTGGACCGCTGCAAGGTTTAAGACTTTTTTGTAAATTTTGCATACAGTTGGTAAGGAGGCGGAGATGATTGACGTCCACCAAAACTTAGGTTTTGTCTAGACACTTTTGCGCTGATGGTTGCATGTGATTTATAACCGCTGTAAAAGCCAAACCAATGTTTATAACAAAACAGATTGATTGTGCTTGCAGGGCC